GAAGGGGTCCAGACTTTTAACAGAGTTAGCTAGTTTTAACTGTTACTATGAGCATTTAATACATTTATTAACTTAATACATTTATTTAGCATTGATGTAGATAATCAATTGTCTGAGAGGCGTTTCATAGAGAGTTTGCTCTCCTGCTAATGGCTAACAGTAAGGACACGTCAGTCTAACCAGGAGAACAAACTGCTCTCATTTTAGCTGAAACAAATACATTCAAACTAAAAACACCAACATTTAGGGTGTAATAAATGATTAAAAAGTGTTAAAAACATGTTTTTTTCAACAAAGATGTATTGTATATGTGAAAATGCCAGGCTTTGTTCCAGTAATAACCCAGCGCAAGGCCTAGCTCTCAGCAGCTAGCTATCAGCGATGCTAACAGCAGCATGCTAGCTGGTTTTCTTTCCGTTTCTCCACGCGGACACTTCAGACGCTCACCTTTGAGGAGGATGGTTACCGGGAAGGCTAACAGCAGGAGCAGCAGCAGTTTAGGTAGAAATTTCATCATTTTCAAGTCAGAGTCAGTGGCTTCTCATTCAGTGTCGGTCAAACTGCAAGGCTGAAGCGCCTCCCTGCCACCTAACTTCTTCTGAGGCGGTAGAGGAAGCTGACCGGGTTGGTGATGGCTATGTGCTGCCCCCTACTGTTCACTGGCTTTATTACAGCATGGCTGCAATGAGCAGCTCAAATGTTTGTAAAAATTATTATGTTATTCTTGTTGCGTAGGTTACGTTTTTTGCGTAGTTTATTGGAATATACTGCAGGTGCCATTGATTGATGTTTTTTTATTCATCACATGTGGCTATATGAGCGTTTAAGAAGGTGCTTGTACTTTGAAGAAAAACAGTCTCATTGGAATCTGCCTTTTTTGTATACCATATTTAAAAAAATGAATTATTGTAGCAATGAATTTTAAACACAGTTTTTTTTTTAACATATTGAATCCCTTGTATAGAATTTTTATCTGGTAAAGAAATTGCCTGCAAAAAATTATGTTGCAAAATATTTAGCTGCAAAACAATTCAGTTGCAGCTGAATTTTTTGCAGGCGATTTTTCACCAGATAAAAAAAATCTTTGTAAGGAATTTAATGTGTAAAAAAATTCAGTGTTTAAAATTCAGGGCTATAAAAGTCCAGTTTTTAAAATACGAAAGGCAGATTTCAATGAGACAGGTTTTCTTCCATAAATAACACTGTTTTTCTTCTCTACTTGTAGTCTAGTCTATTTTATTCAGTGTTAGGATCATGTTCTATTATTACTACTTAACTAGTACTTCATAACTTTATCTACTGTAAATATCAGAATTTGGTTTCTTCTGTATGTATACCGGTATGTATTACATATATTGTTATAGTTTCTATTTTGGTTTTTACAACATTAGAAATTGCCCACAACTTTGTTTGATTAAATATTTTTGAAATAAGAAATCAGATGATATGATCATTTACTCAATACTCAAACAGTCTTTTTACAAAAGGGTTTTATTTTTAACCTTTATTTATTTCTTTTGCTATATATTTACTTCTGAAACCTCCTAACATGCATAGATGTCCTCTAATGTGCTGCATGTCTCCCTATAACATATAACCAATCATGATGGGCCGCCACAACCAAAAATCCCAGGGCGTTTTAATGGCCACAGTCCAAATCTTCATCAATGGTCTTTAAATATGTATCATAACTGAAAGCACCACATCCTTCATACAAGTGGATAAAGTGAGTTTTCTTTAGCTTTACTGATCCAATGAGGAGCTGATGACTTCCTTTGGAGCTTTTCAGGACATTTCCCATTGGGAGAAGCCAACAGGGACTCATCTAATCTGGGATTGACCAGAATGAGCTGGAGGATGTTGCTATGGAGATGGATGCGGTTCCTCTGTGACCCGTGGATGGAAAGAAGAGCCAGTTGATGGTTCAAAACACAAACAATAAGTAGTTTGTGGAAATTATTATCTGCCAAATATGAATTTAAGTGAAACTGAATAATCTAACAAGAATAAAATACCTAAACACCAAAATTCCTGATAAAAATAATTAACATATTTTTAAACTTTTTATTATCAAGAAGAAATGGATCATACACCTCATAAGAATGAGGTCTCTGTTAATTTTTATGATTTTATTTCTCTTACATGAAACGGTTAACATAAAAACTAAAACAGAGTGATTGATCATTCCAAATAAAATCTAAATAATCTGATTATAACCCGTGTTAACATACAGACTATTAATGAAAAACGAATAATACAGAGAAGGCATCAGAAGCCTAGAAATCCTCCAAGCAAAAAAAAAAACAAGACAAAGAAAACTTGAAGTGCCTTTTCCAAAAATCAACACACAGATATTCATCAAATGCAGCTTTTCCAGAACTCCAATCATTATAAACCCTCTCCAGTCAGAATGATGCTTTTATTCTGGATACGACTGGATGCATTCAGCACCGCAAAACAACAACAGCCCCAAAAATACGACTTAACTGCAGACAAATTCAAATATTCATGTTCAAAGTCGGGTGTGAAAATATGCTGAGATGTACAGAAATGTTTTTCAGTTTCCTCACAGTCTGGGCAGCTTTAAGTCCACAAAAACAAATATTAAAATCCAACCATCTTCACGTAAAAAGGTTAATAATAATAATAATAAAATATTTCCAAATCACAGGATAGACTGATTGTCTAGATTCTCTGGAGAAATTATTCCACACAGAAATGACTAAAGAAACAATAATCCATCATCAAACTAACTCAGGATAAACATCCTCCCATCAAATCATCATATAAAATAATAGTAAAAAGACTTTTGTTTATTAATTTATCTTTCTTCATATTAAAGTTGACAGTGATATTCTGCTCTGCAATTTATTGCTTCATGCTTAATATTGAACTTTTTTAAAAATCTATAAATGAACCAAAAAAGCTTTAATTCCCAAAACTGTATAAAGGGGTTAACCGACTGATTGGCCAGCTGATCGTTCAGTCTGATTGGCCGACGCTTCGATGTGAATCCATCTTATCCTCTGGTGTTATAATTCTTCTGTAAAGGTCTGAAACTCACCATCTGTTGATGCTATAAACTTTGCTTTTATATCTCAGAGCATTTATTTGAGAAGTTTTCATTGTCTCTTGGGAATTTTAACTGATAGCGTCAGATATAAAAAAAATCAATATAATGGTCAAAATCATAATCAGTATGTCAGGCTTGTCCAGATTATTAATCTGTGATCAGCCTGCAGCCCTAAAATGACCTGAATGAGTCATGTTTATTGGGTGTGACTAAATCTACTGTTGATCCTGAAATGCTTCATTATGGCTCATTTTATTCCTCACCATCAAATAACCACACAATTGCATATTCAGTTTGTCTGGATGTCATTAAGAGAAAAAAAGCTCATTCTGTTGAACCCTAAAGACAAAAAATGCACTAAAATAAATCCTCAGACAGTTTTAATGAAAGACAGCTTCGGAAATTTGGTTCATGGTCAGCTGATTGGTTAATCATAAAGACTCGATCTAACTAAACTGTGATAAAACTCTTCAGTTCACTGTAACGTCTGTTTAACTGCAGCCAACCTGATTATAATGCCACCTTTAATGGCCCTCATTGCAAAGTTGTATTTAAAGTAGCAGAAGCTCAACGAAAGTATTGAAATCCAACAAAACATTTCCCCGTATTATACCAACCTATTTGTGGGACAATTATTGCCCCCCCATGCTGTCAAAACTCCAGTATCTATGATGGTCCTCCCAAAGCCCCCATGGTTTTATTGTCTAGAGGCAGCTTTAGGTAGGAAGTGTACTGGAACATCTAGAGGTGTCTCCTGCCCTTGCTCTGTTTTCTGCTCTGTCTTC